ATTAAAAATCCATTTTAAAAAATCTATTTACCCATAAATGTCTACTGTAGAGACAACTAAGGAGACAGGCAGGAAAGAGAAGCCCCCAGGGAGAAGCGAGCCACAGTCTGAGTGGAGGGCAGCAACGTCACACGGGTGTCAAGAATAAAGAGGATGCACGCACCTGTGTACCAAGCGAGGTGTGTTAGACCTTCCGTCTTTACTGGTTTCCTTCCCACATCCATGAGCATGTTCAATTTAAAACTCCTTGAAAGCTACACATGCTCCAGGGGCCACGCACCTACCCACTGTCTGGCCAAGCTTCTTAAAGATGAGTTTACACTCAACTGCCTCCATTCTCCAGGCTCACTGACTAATGTATTCATTCATGCAAAAAAATATCTAACAAAAACCTATTATGTGGGCCAGGGTTGTAGCTGAGCAGTAGAGCGCTTGCCTAGCACATGTGAGGCACTGGGTTCCATCCTCAGCACCACATACAAATAAATGAAGTAAAGGGATTATGCCCATCTACAACTAAAAAATATTTTTAATAGAACTATTATGTGAGCAATTGTTTGCTCAACAAGTAGCAAAACAAAGTACGAGATCCACGTTCTTAGGAAACTCTCTCCTAAGTGGTGACAGCAAAAGTGGCCGAAAGAGAATCACCATCAGTCGACCTGATTCTCAAAGCAATGGGGGGAAAAAATAAATAAAAGGCAGAATCGACTTATTCAGAACTTTGTAAATGACCCAAAATCTTGCCATAGCCTGTGGGAGCACTTACACAGAACAAATCTTGAACCTAATAAAGTAAGAACAGTGAACATTTTGGCTTTTTTTTTTTTTTGATCCATGGTACCAAAAACAAAAAGTTAATATTGAGTAGATAAAAGTGTTGGTGCATTTTGGCATTTTAACTTACCTTATCCCATCTCCTGCAACCTGGCTGAGCAATAGCTCTGAAAATAGCAACCTGCATTCCAGATATAAATACCAGAGGGATTTGAAGGGACCTTATTTTCAAAGAGTTGTCATTACTTAATCTGTCTTGTGGTTGCCTAGAAGACATGTTCAAAAGGCTTGGATTTATTTCTCCTGCCTGTGAAATAAATCCTGAACTAAGGTCAGAGCTGGTACCCTAGGACTCTTCATCAAAACCTTTACAGGCAAATATTTCAGTCACTGCTGCATGAGGCAATGAATAACAGCCCACAACAGACTAAGCCACAAGCTGGGGATAAGGGACTTGGAAAAGCTCCCACATATTTCTGAAAATCTAAAGAGCCACGACGTCTAACCTCATGCTCAGGAAAGACTTGAATGTGTCATTAGTTTATTTTTTGCTTTTTATAGTGCTGGGAGTATCAAACCCAGGGCCTCAAGCATGCTAGGCAGGTGCTCTACCACTGAGCTCCATCCCCAGCCCTCTCAATGTCATAAGCTCTGACTTCTGACTGACCTTGGCACTCTGTGGAAGGACAAAGTGAAGGCTAAGTCAGAGTTGTAACCTGGCTGGTTGAGTATTTAATATGTGCCAACACACACACACACACACACACACACACAACACAACACGTACACACTTCAGCAAAAACCTGAAGGTATTTTGGTCCCAATCATTTAAAGAGACTACAGTGACTACCTATGACATAGAACATAGACTTGACAAAGTCAATTCAGAAAAGTCACCAAACAACAACTACAAGAAGCAACAGCAAATAACCTGGGGAGGGTGCGAATTCAGAATTTCCGCATTGGAAAAATCATAAAGTGTCCAACTTCAAAAAAAGTCTACAAAACATGAAAAGAAATGAGAAAGTGTGGGCCATACACAGGGGAAGAAAGCAATCACCAGGAATTTCTGGAAGAGTTCAGACACTGGACCTACTAGACAAAGACTTCAAATCAGCTGTCTTAAATATGCTCAAAAAAAGAGAAGGGGAAAACTGACTTTAAAAAATTAAAGGCTAGTACTAGAATGCTATTACCTACACAATATTAGTAAAGAAATAGGGATCAATTTTTTAAATTAACTGAAAATTTTGGAGCTGGAAAGTACAATACCTGAAATGAAAAATTTGCCACAAAGACTCAACTATAGATTTGAGGTGGCAGAAGAATCAATGAACTTGAGCTAAGACAACTAAGAATATCCAATCTAAGGAACATCGAGAAAAAAGAATGAAGAGAATTAACAGAACCTCAGACAGCTTTGGAACACCACCAAACATACTAACGTGTATACTGAGATTCCCACAATGAAGAGAGAGGAAAGACAGAAAGAATATTGGAAGAAGTGATAATTGAAATTTTCCCAATTTGATGGAAGTCATGAATACATACCCAAACTCTTGATGGACATGATAGCACATACCAGTGATCCCAGACACTCAGGAGACTGAGGCAGGAGGATTGCAAGTTGGAGGCCAATCTGGACAACTTAGCAAGATCCTGACTCAAATTTTTAAAAAATAAAATAAAAAGGGCTGAAGATACATCTCAGAGGTAGGGCACTTGCCTAGTATGTAAAAGGCCCTGGGTTCAATCCCCAGTGTCACAAAATATCTCCAAGAAGATCCAAGTAGAATAAACTGAGATTGTACCCAAGGTATATTATAATCAAGCCATTAAAAGTCAATAACATAAAATTATTATCAAACCCGCCAAGGTCGCGGGTTCGATCCCCGTACGGGCCACCAAATGCCGGAGTCTGGCTGGGCACAATTCAGGAGCCACTTGTCAAAAGAAACTAACTTTATTTTTTAGAACCATGCAGGCCAAACAAAACAGCTCCTCAGGAAAAAAACCCTCAGAGCCCAACTGCCACCACCAGCTTCCACAAGCCTCTCACCCACACCAACCTCACCACCTCCCACAATCCTCCTGCTCTTGAGGCTGATTGGCTGGGTCGCATGGGCGGAGCCAAAGAAGTCCCCCAATGAGCAGTTCCATAGTCTGAGGGGCAAGGGAAACAGCCCAATGAACATCACCGCAGAGGAGCCAATCAGCTAGATGTTGCTGGGGCCGCTGTGAGCCAATCATCAGCTGGCATTCTGAAGGGCAGGGAAACAGCCCAATGAACATCACCGCAGAGGAACCAATCAGCTAGATGTTGCTGGGGCCGCTGTGAGCCAATCATCAGCCGGCAGCTGGAAGTTTGCTGGCAGCTGGAAGTTTGCTGGGGCCCCTTTGGCTGTGGCTCTCAACACTCAAGGTATATTATAATCAAGCCATTAAAAGTCAATAACATAAAATATTGAAAGCAGCAAAGAGAGTTGACTCATCCTGTACAAAGGATCCTCAGAGAGGGTGACAGCTAGTTTATGATCAGAAATCACAGAGGCCAGAAGATATTGAGATGATGCATTCAAAGTACTGAAACTTAAAGAGTGCCTTTCCAAAGCAAAGCAGAGGACTTCTGCCATCTCATCCTGTGTCTAAGGCACTTGGAAGCTCTTGCTGTTATCTTCACAAGAAGACACTGCAAATCAAGAACTATTCTTAAGTTCATTTTAAGAATCAAAATCACAGGATAAATTACTGCTCAAAAAGAAAACAAAAACTTTAGATAAGCAGAAAGATGCAGAAAACCACAACTTACTAGAGCAGAAATCTCTACGAAAGCCAGCAACGGGCAGCGGGGACCTTAAACACCATATCATAATTGAAAGATGGCTGGAGGTTTCCTGTGGACAAGTCTAAGAGTTAAAAAATCACAGGGAACCTGGGTC